CGTCTCAGAAGCTAAGTAGTTCATGCTCGACCATTGCGTCAATGAGTTGGTCGATGTGAGGTAACGAGAACGGATCCATGGGGCATTTGTTGTTCAAATATGTGAAATCCACGCACATCCACCATTTCCCATTCTTCTTTTTCACCATGACCATGTTGGCGACCCACTTGGGATACTTTGACTCCCTTATGAAACCATTTTCTAACAGTTTTTCCACCTCTTCGCGTATTGCATCATTAATTGCGGAGTTGAACTTACGCCTGACCTGTCTCACTAGGGGGTGGAATGGGTTGACGTTTAGTTTGTGCGTGGCGATTTCCTTTGGGATACCAGGCATATCTGCATGGCAGAGAGCAAACAAATCTGCGTTAGCTATTAAGATTTGATGAAATTTACCCGGTTCCTGCAGTTTGCAGACGATGTAAGCCTTCTTGTTGCGATCGTTGATGTCTAATTGGACGGGGTCGAGGTCTTCTATGGTCGATCCTGCAGCTTAAACCATATCGGGGTCTCTGACGCCATCCCCGCTATCATCATATTCTGACCTCGACCCTGCTGATTGCTATGTTTCTTTTTCCTTGTCTCTTTTTTGCTAGATGGCCGTGCTATCTAGAGCGATGCTGTAGCATTCCCGGGATGTGTGTTGTTCCCATCCTATACTGAATATTTCCCATGGAGTTGGAATTTGATGACTTGATATAAGCTGGAGGGAACGACTTTCATGGGGGTGTATCCATGGTCGTCCTACTATGGCATTATATGCGGTGTCTTGGTCCATGGTGTGGGATGTGGTTTCTAGAGTTATGCTACTGTCCAGAACAGGGAGTGTAATTTTTCCAGATTTTCGCTCAACTGCATTGTTAAAATCAGTTAGCGTGATGGAACGCAGCACTATCTTATCTTCGAGTTTCATTTGTGCAAGTACTCGAGGATGAATAATGCACACGCTGCTCGCGTCATCTACCATAATGCGTCTCACATCGGTATCTAAAATTCGTAAAGTAATAACATGGGCATTATTTTGAGGAAAAGTCAAACCGTCGGCATCTGACTTATAGAAGATGATACTCTCTTCGAGTTCATTGTACCATTTACAGGTGATTGACCGCTTGAGCTTGTGGGTGGAGGTGAATTTTACGTTGTTGATGGAGGCGTCGTCACCACCACCGATGATTATGTGGATGATATGTGCTGGTAAGGGCGGCTTTGGTGGTCCTTGGTGTTGCTCGCGTCCTCTGCGAAATTAGTTCTCCCCATGTTGCTCAGCAACTCTTTGAGGTGTCCTTGTCGTAACATCTTTACGACTTCCTGCCTTAGGGCGATGCAATCTTTAGTTTTGTGCCCTCGTTCTTGGTGGTACTCGCAGAAGGCATCGGACTTTCTGGTACTCGGATCTGACCTCATCTTCTGCGGCTATTTTACATTTTGTCCGAGCTTCTCCAGAGCATAGACTATCTCTATAGGTGACAAAAACATTGTTAACGGATAATAAATGGGGCATACCTCTTTCGTTCCTATGAGTCCATGTCCTTGGTCTAGACGAGCCTTCTTCGAAGCGGGGGGAGGTCACTGCGGCCTTCTGACATATGGTTAATGTCGTTCCCTGTTAGGATGTAGAACTATGAGATCTCTTCTAGCGTCGTTTCTTAGATCTTTTCAGGATTCAATATGTACCGAGGTCAGTCAATGAGTTGGTCCATTGAGGTCGTCCTCATCTGCTCGGACCTCGACACAATAAGTGTTGTGGATTTTGTCCCAAGTGGTTGGGGGATACTTCATCAGCCGATTCAATAATTTCCTAGTTGCTCTCGAACCATCCCTGCTCAGCCCGTTCTGAAAGCTTGCGACTGCATCCCTTCGAATACGTTCGGCAAAGTCATCCTCACTCGGTTGAACCGGGATAAGAAGTCCCTTATCCCCTCCCCTAGGGCTTGTTTAATGGCAAATATGTCGTTCACTCTCGCCTCGTCCTTCTTGGCTCCGGCATGGGCCGTTACGAACTTGTCGACCATCTCTTCGAAAGTTTCTATGGAGCGTGCAGGTAGTTGTGAATACCATGTTAATGCTTCTTCCGTGAGGGTTTCGCCAAATTTTTCCAGCAAAATGGAGGACACCTGCTCTTTGTCGAGGTCGTTGCCTTTCACGACGGTGACGTAATGAGTCACATGATCTTCAGGGTCGGTCGTGCCATCGTATATCCTGTGGTAGGGCAAAATTATGAAGGTTTTTGGTATGGTATGGGGAGCTGCGTCATCACTGTACGACTGCTCTATGAACCGGCCGACGTCCCTTTTCGGTAGCAACTTAGGAGCGCCTGGTATTTTGTCGACCGCTCTTGATGTTCTTTCATCTGATCTCGGAGCGCCTTGTTTTCATTCTCCATTTCTTCCATCATTTTTAGGATGGCTGTAAGGGCGTTATCACCTGCATTATCAACGACAATGAGAGCTATACCTATCGTCGGAAGGGGTGGATGGTTACACTGCTCGTCCGTTCGTTGTACTGTGACAGTCCTTGCGATTTCTGCGGTCGGGCCTAGAGCGGGCTTGTTGAGGATGCTCGTTAGCGTGTCAAATAACCACGCCTCAAGGAGCATTTTAACGGCTGGGGGCGCCCCATCCTTTGAAAACGTAGAGACTCCTTTTCCATGAGGTTTTATTATACTGCAGTGAGGGGTGGTGACCCATCTCGCGTAGGGGACGCACTGCGTCATGTCCTCGCCAGCTGTTTCACTGCTCTCACTGATGGTGTTAATGAGGTTGGTCGGGAAATCATTTGTTATCCTCATCCTTTCTTCTCGGTCACCTAACATGTTAGGTTTTGCACACAGAAAGAGAGCTTGGGTTTTGTGACGTCAATGACCGATGTTAGTTGTAGATCTAGAGGAAACTAAAAATTAACTAAAAAAATTCCCACAGACGGCGCCAAATTGTTTGACCCAAATATGTAAATTTTAGTTCAAATAATTAATTTTAGTTAAACAAATGGTTAATCCTAGTTAAGAATAATATCTCCACATCTTAACATTAGAAAAAATAAGTGATATGAGGACAAATATGACACTGTGTAATAAATGCCTTTAAATAATCAAGAACAGTGGTAGAGTGCATGATATTCAATAAATGATGATAGATGACATTTAAGTAAATTAGAGGAATAATTCCTGATAGAACAAGTACAATCAAAAATCAAATAGAAAGAATTACAAAAGAGAAAAATAAAGTAACTCCAGAAATAGATATCAGTCCTAATAAAACAAATAATATTAAAAAATTCGAATTGCCAAAAAATATTTTCCAAATATTAAAAAGAAGAAATACTCGATTAATATGGAAATTCCATTATTTTCTAAAATTATTCATTCAAAGATAATACATCGATCTATTTTTATCTATCATTAATATTCCCAGAAGAATAATTGAATTCTTTTTTCAAGTTGATTCAAATTATTCGAACGTTTTATTACTTATTTATTTTTGTTTGGCGTACAAAAAAACCTTTTGAATTCCCGGTAGAAAGAGATTTCGCTAACGAATAAAGGGTGGAATAAATGAACCTTCCAACTAACAGTGATTGAACAACGAATCCTGATACAATCGAGGATCTCTCGTATCTGATAGTCAAAGACAGATGTGAATCTTAATGAAAAGTAAAATCTTGTATTGAGTGAAGACTGAATCATTTTCAAAGTGTTGTTCTTATAATTGAATCTCACGTCTCCCTATTATGTCTCTTGTTTCCCTTTAAATGGGATCTATTCCCAAGAAAATTTAATAGTACAAATAAAGAGAATATTCTCTCGAATATTCTTCAGAATATTCTCTTCTAGATCTTATCTTGAAAACTAGCCGTTGCAGCTCCGTTACTGATACTCAATCTCGACCTTGATCCCTGTCGGTGCCTTGACTGCGGCTCTTCTCGACTCCCCGACCACCAGATTGTGTGGCTTCTTAGACCATCTTAAATGACAACTTAAAAAATATCCTTCTCAGGGTATCATCTCGGCCTAAATATCCTAAAGGCGAATTTTAACCATACAAAGTCTAAAAGACTTCTGACAAATATTAGATCTAAAATATATATACTAACATAACTAAATTTCAATACAACTAATTCGTATTGCCTATAACAATCTAAAATTACGCAATTATTTTAATTAAAAGAGCAAATATAGTTAGTTAAATAACATAAGGACTTAAACCTCAACATAACAATAATTCTATGATCGAAATCGCTAATTTCTTTACTATAAGTTATTTTAGTTGCTTTACTTTATACGACATTATTACTATTTGAAATATCAAATAACTTTTTTTAGTAAATATTTTTAATTATAAAATTTATAATTTCTTTTATACACTTAGTTCCTAATTATTTAAATTTAATTTTAAAAGTATTACTAAAAATTAATGGTGGAATTAACATATAATTCTTCTTAAAGCAAAACAAGAGCTTACTATAAACAGTCAAATTATAATGATGGTATGTGAAAGAAATGTAAATCAGATTTCTGAATTTTCTGTGTATTATTTCGTCATCTGTATCAAATATTTATACAAGTAGCTAATCTAACAAGAAGAGAAAAGATTCTAATTATCTGTACACTTGTACAATTCCTATTGCTAGCTCTGTAACAGAAATAACCAAAATATTCCTTTACAATGTATTTATATGTGCTGTATATCCTCTTGCTCCAGCTGTCCAGGTTGTGTAATCAAACGGCTGAGATTTATCTTCAGTTTGGACGGTCAAGATCTGTCCACGTTTATAATCAAGAAAATGGCCCAAATAATAGAGACAACATAGAGATGTCCAAACTCTATCTATCTGTCTGAAACCCATCTATCTTCTTCTTCTCTTCTGTAAAATAATCGAAATCTCTTCTTTGATCGAAATCTCTTCTTTGATATTGAAAGTTCTGCACTATTGACATAGAGCTTCCTTTTCTTTTTCAACATCCCCCCTCAAGTTGGAGGGGAGAGACAAAACCCCCAACTTGCTCAAGATAAACCGGTGGGAAGCTCCAGATAAAGGCTTGGTGAATAGATCGGCCAGTTGATGCGGGATGGGACAAAAGATAGACTAATCAAGCCGGAAAGGAACTGTTGCCGCACAAAGTGGCAATCTAATTCAACATGTTTGGTCCGTTCGTGAAAGACTGGTTTACGAGCAATATGTATGGTGGCTTGACTGTCGGAGTAAATCGGAACAGGAAGAGGTGGTGAAGATGAAAGATCGTCAAGGAGACGAACTAGCCATGTGATTTCAGTTGTAACGCGTCTCATCGTACGGTACTTTGCTTCAGCAGAGGAAAGGGAAACAAAGACTTGCTTTTTATATTTCCACGAAATTGGTGCTCCATCAAGTGTGATGAAGAAACCACTGATAGACCTGCGAGATTCTTTGCAAGATGCCCAATCCGCGTCGCAGAAAGCAAGCAAATCAAAAGAGGGTTTTGAAGAAAGAAGAATACCTTGGCCTGGATCTCGACTTAAATAGCGGAGAACACGCATTGCAGCTGAGAAATGAGATGTACAAGGGCGCTGCATATATTGATTGAGAGAAAGAACAGCAAAACACAAATCCGGTCTTGTGTTAGTTAAAAAATTGAGCTTGCCAACTAGATGCCGATACACAGTAGGATTTGCTAAAAAAGGGCCAGCATCTGCGTGCAATTTGCATGATGGATCAAGTGAAGAAGTAACAGTTGCTCCAGAATAATCAAACTCTTGCAAGAGTTCCAAGGTATATTGTCGTTGACTGATGATGAATCCTTGTTTTTCTCGCAAAATTTCCATTCCTAGAAAGTAGTGTATATCCCCTGAATGTTTGACTTTGAACTCTGTATGAAGAAAATCTGTGATAGACTTGATTCCCTTGCAATCATCCCCAGTTAACAAAATGTCATCTACATAAACCGCTATAATATAAACCAAATGCCCATTGCGTTTGAAGAATAGAGAATAGTCATTAAGAGAGCTAGAATAACCTTTGTAACTGAGAGCTCCTGCTAATCGAGCATACCATTGTCTAGAAGCTTGTTTTAGACCATATAAGGATTTTCTCAAAAGACAAACCTGATTTTGGTTAGGGGGAGTTAGCCCTGTAGGGAACCTCATATAAACCTCCTCTTGTAAGTCGATGTGACGACCCGACCCGTCGTCTCATGTGTTACCGCCCCGTTTTTCCCATTTATTGCTTCTTCATGTTTCATTATCGGCATTTGGTAAGTTAGAGTCGAATCGGTTTGGTTTTGGTAGAAAATGAGACATTTAGTCTCTTTAAGTAAGGCTTGTAATGGAAAAGTCAACCGGATGTTGACTATTGAGTTAGAGGGCTCGGATGTGAATTCCGGTGATTTGGTTAGCTTCGGGGGATGATTTGTGACTTAGGAGTGCGATCGGAATTGATTTTGGAGGTTCGGTGTAGAATTAGGCTTGAATTGGCGAAGTTAGTATTTTGGCGAATTCCGGTTGGTAGGTGAGATTTTGATCCGGGGGTCGGAATGAGATTCTGAGAGTTGCAGTAGCTTCGTTAGGTGATTTTGGATGTGCGTGCAAAATTTCAGGTCATTCGGAGGTATTCTGGTTGGGTTTTTGATCGAATGTGTGTTTCGGAAGTTTTAGAAGAACTTAGGCTTGAATTCGATGAGAAATGATGGTTTTAGTGTTGTTTGAGGTGTTTTGATGATTGGAGCAAGTTTGAATAAGGTATTGGATCATGTTGGTGTCTTTGGTTGAGGTCCCGGGGGCCTCGGGGTGATTTCGGATGGCTAACGGGATGAAAATTGAAGTTGGAGATTGCAGGTTCATATGTGATATCTGGTATTTTCACTTCTGCGGAAATGGACCGCAGAAGCGGTCGCACAGAGGCGAAGGGAGGATCGCAGAAGCGACTTTTGGGCCTGGTGCTGTTTTCGCAGAAGCGGTTATGGGAGCCGCATCTGCGAAGCCGCAGATGCGGAAGGGAGACCGCAGAAATGATTTTTGAATTTTAGGAGATTCCGCAGAAGCGGAAATATTACCGCAGATGCGGTAGTCGCAGAAGCGACAAAGGACCGCAGAAGCGGAAATAACTGATCAGAAAGGGTTTTAATTCCCTTCGCGAAATATTTACAGAACACATATATCTACTTCGGACTTGGGGTGTTCTTGAGCGATTTTGAAGAGGAAATTCAAGGACTTCGATCAGGTAAGCATTCTTGGACTTAGAACACAATTTTATCATGCAAATACATGAAATTTCACTGAAAACTCAAGGAATTAAGGTCAAAAATGGTGGTTTAAGGCTTGAAACCTAAGAGAACAAAAATAGGAATTTGAGGGGCCATTTGGACTCCGATTTTGGTGTTCTTTATATGTATAGACTCGTGGCGAGATAAGGAATCCGGTGATGTAAAATTTATAATTTTTCGAGAAGCGGGCCCGGGGCTCGGGTTTTGCCAACTTCGTGATTTTTCGATGTTTTTCGAGTCTTTTCGATTGGGTTATATTCCCTTAGCATATTGTGACGTATTCGTTGTGGTTTTGGTCAGATTCGACGCGCGAAGAGGTGAATTCGAAAGGCAAGGGCATAGCAAGCTAGGACTTTGGCCGGCTAGAGGTTAGTAATAAATGTAAATGCTGTGTTGAGGGTTTGAAACCCCGAATTTGCACAACGTAGTGCTATGTGAGGTGACTTGCACGCCGGATAACGGGCGTGGGGTAGAGCACCGTCAGGGATTGTGACTTGGTCCGTCCCGCTTAATAAAATTGATACCTATTTGATTGTAGATTTGTAATATCCTTATAAAAAAATGGATTAATTGTCATAATTGGGCTTCGTGCCAACTACTTGAATCCTTCAGGGATTATTTTAATGGTTTCCTACCATATTTATAAATATTAAACTCAGTCCTGGTATTTAATACTGTGTTTGAAATCTCAGCCATTTTCTTAAATTAGAAATTAAGTTAATATTTTTAAATGAAGTTTGGGCTGAATATTTTTATACTATTGTGTGATTTTTGGACCGAGTATGGGATCGGGCTGCACGCCGCAGCAGTATTATAATGATATTGATATGAGGCCAAGGGCTTGTTTGATGCCACGAGATGACTTATTATTGCGCTTGGGCCGTAAGGGCCCCTCCCGGAGTCTGTACGCCCCCAGTGAGCGTCGTCGACGTTAAATAAATGGAGCGGGCTGCACGGCCGCAGCGGGGTACTGGAGGTACCGGTTTATGTGTTGCATTGCATATTTAATTGTTATTTATTTCTTCATCTGTTGTGATGTTTATTCTAACTGTATTGTTGTTTAAGGGTATTATTAGCTTTACTTTGTATTTCTTTAAGATTTCTTATCCTCAGACCTTATTTATATTTATTACTTTCTGAGTTGGAAGTACTCACAATACTTCCTGCACCTAGTGTGCAGATCCAGGTACACCAAAGGGTGAGTGAGGACTTGTTAGCTGAGCAGCGATTATCTGAGAGTGTCGAGGTAGCTGCATAGCGTTCGCAGCCTTGATCTCTCCCTTCCATCTTTTATTATTTCATTCGTATTATTTTTCCTAGTCGGACTTGTAATAGGTGAATAATCTGCTTCTAGAGGCTCATGTTCGTGACACCAGATTCTGTGGGTTGATCAGTACTTTGTTTTCATTTTGGGGTTTTTGAATGTTAGAAATTATTTCATAAATTCCGCACTAAATTGGTATTTTTAATAGTGAATATTTATTCATCTATCTAGATTTATTGGCTAAGGTTTTGTAAATGGTCGGGCTTGCCTAGCAATGTGTTGGGCGCCATCACGACCGGGGTTTGGGTCGTGACAAGGTGGTATCAGAGCCTAGGTTACTTGGTCTCGCGAATCATGAGCCGGTTTAGTAGAGTCTCGTGGATCGGTACGGAGACGTCTGTACTTATCCTCGAGAGGCTGCATAACCTTTAGGAAATACTCCATATTCTTGAAACTCTTGTCGTGCGGCTTTGTTGAACTGTGAACTAAATCTTTGTTATTCTATTCTCTCACAGATGGTGAGAACACGAGCTACCGAACGTGACGGACGACCACCACTGCCACCTACTAAGGCCGCCAGAGGCCGTGGGCGCGGTCGTGGTCGTGGCAGGGGTAGAGTAGCCGGGACAGTACCTGCTAATCCTTTGATTGCCCCAGCTCAGGATCAGGCTCCAGCGGTGGAGACTCCAGCAGCACCTGCTCAGGCACCAGTTGTGCCTATTGTGATTCCGGGTCTTCAGGAGACCTTGGCACAGATCTTGACGGTCTGTACTGGTTTGGCTCAAGCAGTTTCAGCCACCACAGCAGCAGCAGCTACTTCACAGACTGGGGGAGGCAATCAGACATCCGATGCTCGCACACCTGCGCAGGGAGTGCAGGGGCTACAGACACCGGAGGCACCTCCAGCTCAGCAGGTTGCACCAGCTCAGGGTTTTGTGGTTCCAGCTATGCCAGACGATGAGCAGCGTCGTCTCGAGAGGTTTGGTAGACTCCAGCCTCCTACATTCGGTGGTGCTGAGGGCGAGGATGCCCAGAGTTTTCTTGACAGATGCCAGCGTATGCTCCGTACGGCAGGGATCCTTGAGTCGAGTGGTGTGGCATTTACTACTTTTCAGTTCACGGGGGATGCTCTTACTTGGTGGGAGGACTTTGAGAGGCGTAGGCCTGCCGGGGCAGCACCCCTGACTTGGCAGCAGTTCTCAGCTCTTTTTCTGGAGAAGTATATACCTCAGTCCCGCAGGGAAGAGTTGTGTAGGCAGTTTGAGTGGTTGACACAGGGAGACATGACAGTGACTCAGTATGAGGTGAGGTTTACCCAGCTGGCTCGTCACGCTACTTGGATGGTTCCAACAGATCGCGAGAGGATCAGGAGATTTGTGGATGGTCTTAACTATCATCTCCATATTCTGATGACTAGAGAGAGAGTACTGGGTGCTACGTTTGATGAGGTGGTAGACATTTCTCGTGATATTGAGTCAGTTCGCCGTAGAGAGCGAGAGGAAAGGGAGGCTAAGAGGCCTCATGGATCGGGCAGTTTCAGTGGTGCTCCTTCCAGGGGTCAGTTCCAGCAGGGTAGAGGTCGCTCTTTCAGGCCTGCTCAGTCAGCTCGTCCAGAATATCATGGGGGATCTTCAGGCCGTGGTCATCATGGGCCCCAGCAGGGTCAGACTTCACTCAGCGCTCTCCCAGCTCAGAGTTCATCTCATGCCCATCAGTTCAGGGTTCTTCTGCGCCGAGTGCATCTGCTAGTCACTTTGGTGCGAGAGGTTTTCATCAATCCCCATCTTCAGTACCGGGCAGCTGCTATGAGTGCGGAGAGTTGGGTCATTTTAGGAGGCAGTGCCCTCGCCTTCGTGGCAGACAGCATCAGCAGAGGGGTCAGCTCTCGACTTCTGCTCCAGTTACTTCACCACCCGCCCAGTCAGCTAAGGGTGGAGATCAGGCAGCCAGGGGCCGCCCCAGAGGTGGAGATCGATCAGGCGGTGGCCAGGCTCGTTTCTACGCGATGCCGGGCAGGACAGATGCCATTGCTTCAGACGCTGTCATTACAGGTATTATTTCAGTCTGTCACAGAGACGCCTCGGTATTATTTGATCCCGGTTCTACCTATTCATATGTATCTTCATACTTTGCTCATCATTTGGGTACTACCCGAGGGTGTCTTGCCTTACCTGTTCATGTGTCTACCCCGGTGGGCGACACTATTATTGTGGACCATGTATACCGGTCGTGTTTGGTGGCTATTGGGGGTCTGGAGAACCGAGTTGATTTATTGCTACTGAATATGGTAGATTTCGATATTATCCTGGGATGGACTGGTTATCTCCGTGTCATGCTATTCTAGACTGTTATGCTAAGACAGTCACTTTGGCCATGCCGGGTGTACCGCGGATCGAGTGGCGTATAGAGTTATTTCTTTCTTGAAGGCCCAACGTATGGTTGAAAAGGGTTGTCTTTCCTATTTGGCGTTTGTGAGAGATGTGGGAGCTGAAACCCCCAGCATTGAGTCGGTTCCCGTTGTGAGGGAGTTTCCCGATGTGTTTCCTGCAGACCTGCCGGGTATGCCGCCGGACAGGGACATTGATTTTGGCATTGACCTGGCGCCGGGCACTCAGCCCATT